TTCATACTTTCAGTATTGGGTACACTTGCTCCAGTATCCGTAGGACTGTTATATCCATCTATTGTTAATATTCAAAATAATTTACATAGTTCCGATGTCGAAACTAATTCTTTAGAAAGTATATTTACGATATTTGTTGCAATAGCTCCATTATTCTGGGCTGAATGTTCAGATTTTTTTGCTACATGACGAAAAATATATTTAATTTCACTAACAATATTTATTATAGCAAGTATTATATGTGCTATAGTGAATAACATATAGTTATTGTTAGTGATGCGTGCTATACAAGCAATTGGAGCATCAGCAGTTCAAAGCATTGGTATTAGAAGTGTAACTGATTTATTTGAAAATGAAGAAATAGAAAGTACATTTGGAATATTCTATGGTACGAAATTAACTCTTATTAATGCATATTGATTCTTTTGATATTTATCGACGATTCGCAATATCACTAATCAAATTATGTGTTCTTACTAATATGTTTCATAGTAAGTACTAGATAATTTTTTTTATATCTGACGCGTTAGTTACTAACGGATTTACTAACTTATTCATTATGAATTTAACCTCAAGGGAGGATCACTAATTAGTCTAATTTTTGAATCAATTATTGGAGGATTCCTTGCTCAAAATTTCAGATGGCATTCATTATTTTGGGTACTCGCAATTTTTGGTGGCGCATTACTTTGTACAGTGGCATTCTTTTTACCCGAATCTTATCGATTATCAGAAGAAAAGAAACAAAGATTCTTTAACCCGTTTAAGTTATTTGAATTATTTGGTTATCTAAACGTTATATTGATTTTAATTTACATTAGTTTATTGATCACCATACTTAATGCTCAAGATATTTCTACTGTAAAAAATTTTATCGAATTATATAATCTCAATACGGTTATAGTTGGATTCGTATTCTTAGCTCAAAATACTGGATAGTTATTGGTTGTTTATTTGGTGGATTTTATTCCGATTTTATTTTGAGAATAGAAACAAAAAAGAATAATGGAATAGGTAATCCGATAATGCGATTAAAAGGAATATGGGTGGTTACCTTATTATATTTGATAATATATTTCTTATACGGATAGACATTAGAAAATAGACTTAGTATCGTTATTCTATTAGTAATGATATTTATAGGTAGTACGTGCTTTACTATAATAGGTAGTTTAGTATCAAGTTATTTGATAAATTCGTTTTCTTCAAAAAGTGCATCAGTGATAGCTATTTTAAATTTTGTAAAAATAGCATTTTCAT